CCTGATTGAATGAAATATATTCTCATAGCCAATATCACCATAAAATCAATTATTACTATCATTCAATTATATCTATGGTTTTTGCAGCAAAGAATGCATAAAGGTCAATATGATAACTATTGATCTTATTACTTGTGTATATAAATTGTGTAAATTCTCGTTTTCTTCGCGGATAAATATAGATTTATGAACAGGAAGGCTTGTAAATTTCCAATAAATTATTATAACGCAGTCAATTGAACGTGGTTATATCACCTATACATCATTTATTATTTATTAAAATTGTAACTGATTAAATAGACCAATGAGTATTTATATAATGTATCATTGATTGATTTCAAAATGGGAGTTGGTATTGAGTATTTAACACTCAACACCTACATTGTTTTATGGGATGTATTCTAACTCTCTGAAATAATTATCATCTTGAAGAACATGAACTTTGCCTTATAATCCGGAAAGTTTCTTCCTGTGAAAATTATAATTGAATTTCGTTGAAATTTCATATGTGGTTTTGTATCCTTCTCATGAGTCACTTCATGTATGACTGGAGAATAATTTTCAGATATATTTTCATCCTGAACTTGTTCAATCGTAAGAGGTTCTTCAACTTTCAACTGTTTGGGATGTAAATAGGATATCTAATCAAATATGAAATCGTGGATGTAATAATGATTATGGGGAAGTTTCCTATATTGAGGTTTTTATCTCACTTGAAGTTTGTAAAAAAACTAATTTACAGGGTGTCCCCAGACCAGTGGGACAGTTAAATATCTTCTGAACCAATAGGAATTTTCAAAATATTATAATTTCACATCATATCGCATTATGAGTGCTAACTTCAGGAATGGCTATATTTTATACGAGGGGCGCAAGAAAGGCTCACAAAATCGAACATCAAATGGAACATCCTGTATTTCATTGCATTTCATATTCTCCTTGAAGAGCTGAATTCAACGACTGACTGAAACTGAGAATTCTACATTGCAATACATCATTGCGTGAAAGAATTGATAAGGCAAGAGTTTAAAGGCAAAACCATTGCAATCTATTCAGATAGCCAGGCGGCAATCAAAGCAGTCAACTCTATGCAAGTTAACTCAAAACTAGTATGGGACTGCTTAGAAACCCTAAATGCACTGTGGGCAGTCAGAACAGATTGACTCTAGCATGGGTACCAGCACATACAGGGTACGAGGGCAATGAAGAGGCAGACTCACTTGCCCGAGCCGGAGCAAACAAAGCTCTTAATGGCCCAGAACCCTTCTGTGGTATTGCGAAAGCTATACAAAAGACTAGTATCAAATTATGGATGCAAACCAAATCTCAAGAATGGTGGAACAACTCGCCAGGAATGGGACAGGCTAAAGAGTTTATTAAAAAACCATCGCCAACATTCACAGAATATCTACTAAGCCAGAAACGAATTTCAACTAGAATACTAGTGGGACTTCTCACAGGGCATTGTAGGCTCAACAAACACATGAGTACGATAGGTCTGACTGAAGAACTGCTGTGCAGTTTCTGTCAAGAAGAGGAAGAAACAGCAGTACACATACTTTGCCACTGTGAGGGCTTGTCAAGACTAAGGTTCCTCAGGCTGGGTGAGGAAAAACCAGGAGCCCAGAGATACACAGGAGATCTGAAAGCTAGCCTATGGAGTCTCATAGAGAAGGCGGGGCTAGCCGAAGAAATCGCAGTGTGGAGGCAGATAGCCCGAAGGCCCCATTCCAAATCTGATCTAACTTTCACTATAGAAAAAATTAATAAAAGAGGAACTCGGCTCCTCCACCATTCCTATGACTTACTTTCTGAAAATCCACATTCACACAGAGTTAAAATACGATTCCCTGTGCCAGTACGACGTTGCCGACATCATCAATATGTCTAGATTTCCGTAAATTGTTGTTTGAATGCATAATAACTATATCATAACATCAATGGGATATGTTCTTCAATCCTACTTTGTCAAGTATTATAAATAATTCCCATAAACCTCTCATGGAGTTGATTACTAATAAAGATAAATTATGATATTTTGCGATAGTATCTATAATTTTTCTACTAGAGAGGTCCGAACTTATTTTATGAAAATTCATCTGAAGGAAACTTCCCCATAGTAGCTTTATTGTCCAACAGTTACCCATATTTACAGGACAATATCAAAGAATATGATGCGAAAAAGAGTAGGTTTGATGAGTAAGTTTGCATAATAATAGTTATTTATTATACAAGGGAAAAAAGTAGTAGATTTTAGCTCCAGGTTGTGTTGTCTCCCGACGCGTAGCGGAGGGAGACAAAAAACCGTGAGCTAAAATCTAATATTTTTCCCGTGTATAATACACTATTTTTTTCTGTGACAGAAGGAAGGACGAATCAATATTGAGAAGATATTACATTATTTCGAAATCTGAAAATTATCGACATGAAATTTCAAGTTTTTAACAGTAGGGACACCTGCGTTTTATAGACATCTTTATCATTCTTTTGAAGTAATCAAATATCTGATGTCACTTCTGTCAGTTCAATTCTGTGATTTGATTTTAAAAAATCTCGAATTCAGTAGTTGTTTAGTAATATACGAAACCGCGAAGTCGAATGGAAGATAAAAGGACTTGCAGTTCTTTCTCGGAGACGGTATTATTGACTCATTTTTCGGAACTATAGCACAACAAAAGCCATTAACAGAGTATATATATGTGATATATATCCGGGAAAGAAGTACTCACTTTTTTCCCACGGGAAAAAAGTAATTTATGAAAAGTGACATTTTATACCCTGCCAACAGAGATGAAATGCCAAACTTTTTTCCCGTCACAGAAAAAAGATTAAAATTAATAAAAATATAATAAATAAGCTTAGACTAATCACATAATTAGTCGATGGCATCGAGCTCATAATTTTAATGAACTAATCAATGCCACAACTTGAAATGTCACATATGTTCGTAATGCAGTTATAGTTATTGCAAATTATACAGGGTATGTCACGACGAGCTTACACTATCTTTATATCGAGAATCAGTCGATAGAAATCCATAGAAATGTGCATGCTTATATTTCAGAATACGCTTTCTTCATTTCAAATATTTTCGATAATGCAGTGTTGCCGCTTCTACTAGAAAGTAGTAGCAATTTTGATATTTCAAACGGAACGCGCAATATTTTATCGCATTTTCAGATTCTCCCTGAAGAGCTGATTTCATCGATATATCACACTTGGGGTCTATCGAAAATGATTACAGAGATATAGGGTGATCAAAATCGAGATTTTTCAACTTTAGGATTTTTTTGTGTCGAAACTATTCATTATCGATCAAAACGGCTCAAATGTCCCTATCTCACCTTTGGATCAACTATTTACTGATATTTAATCTGTTCCGATTAAATATCAGTAAATAGTGAATCAAAAGTTGAGATTGGGACATGTGAGCCGTTTTGACCGATAATGAATAGTTTCGACACATAAAATCCTAAAGTTGAAAAATCGCGATTTTGAACATCCTATATCTCTGTAATCTTTTTCGATAGCCCCAAGTGTGATGTATCAATAAAATCAGCTCTTCAGGGAGAATCTAAAAATGCGATAAAATACAGGGTATTTTTCATTTGAAATATCAATGTTGCTACCACTTTCTAGTAGAAGCGGCAACATTGCATAGTCAAAAATATTTCAAATGAAGAGAGCGTATTCTTAAACATGAGCATTCGTATTTTCATGGATTTCTCCCGACTGATTCTCGATATATGGATAGTGTAAGCTCGTCGTGACATACCCTGTATATATGGGCGAGTTAAGCATAATATTTGTATTAGCTCCTGGGTGTCTGAAGGTAACAATATTACGGGTGGGATAAGATGAAACGTTGAAGCAGTTCAACTAGCGTTGAGAAAGAAAAACTTGAAATAATGGAAATTGTATGTTGGTACATTAGAAATGGAGAAGAAATGGAGAAGAAGATCATATTAACCTCATTATAAAAAAAAAATAGAATCCTCTCCATTTCTTTATATTTCCAATTCTTATTTATTTGTATTGGAACAGTGAGGACAAGGATAGATGGAAAATACATTTTTTCTCTCTCAACATTAGCTGAACTGTTCTGTTACTATTGAATTTCACATATTGACATCCTCATAGGAAAAGTATCTCCCATTATTGGTGCGTTGAGAAGATGTCCTAAACTTAGTACATATACATCAAATATTATTCTCTATTCACATATACTCAGTCGAATTAACTATCTAATAAATATTTGGGAATCTTGTTCCAAAAATAGTTTCAACAAAATTTCTGTTCTATATAAAAAGGCATTGAAAGTATTGTATCGTCTTCCATATGGTACTCCAACGAATCAGCTGTATAAGGAAACAAACACATTTTCTTTGGAAGAGCACTTTTCAATCAATACTCTAAAAATTTCCTATTATATCATCAACAAAAAGCTTGAATCAAATTTTATATCAATCAGGAATTACGAAATTCATGATCATCACACTAGACAATATAACTTGTTTCATCTTGAAGCTGCAAATTCTAAACTTGGACAAAAAAGTTTACACATGAGGCGATTCCGAAATTCAATAGATTACCAGATGATATCAAGAACAGCCCAAATATTATGCAATTCGAAAATAAATGAAGACATATATTTATATGCAAAGGAAGGTGAAAGATGAATTTCCTTTTTTTTTTTCACTGTTTTTATTTTTCCCCTTCTTGTTCTGTTATTTTGAGATATCTTAATGATATGTAAGTTTTGTTCACTATTTGTAATTTCAATTATACAACAGTCTATAATACTTCATGAATGATCTTATACCAGGAATTACTGTCTGATCATTCATGTCATTCCTACTAGAAAATGAATTATACTTTATAAATTATTTGTATGAAATGTATCAATGAAGAAGATAATGTAATGCAGTAACTGGAATAAATAAATAAATAAAATAGTATTGAAAGGAAATTGATTTTACTCAACATGTTTTTTGTTTCAGGTACGGCTAGGTATGCAAGTATAAACACACATTTGGGAATTGAACAATCTAGAAGAGACGATCTGGAATCGTTAGGATATGTTTTAATGTACTTCAATAGAGGATCGTTACCTTGGCAGGGTCTGAAAGCTGCCACAAAACGACAAAAATATGAACGCATCTCCGAGAAGAAAATGTCCACGCCCATTGAAGAGCTCTGTAAGGTATGTGCCCACACTCATATTACTGAATTTAGATCAATCTCTGGTAGAAATTAATTACTTACCTCAACATATAACCTTCATCTTCAATTTTGCCATTACATCCTCTACCTTTCCCTCTCTGTGGAAGCATGCTTGAGTACTCCCTCTCTCAAAATGTAATAATCCCGTGGAATACTCCGATGTAAGACCTATCAGTATTCTGCCTACCCTATCAAAAGCCTTCGAAATGGCTCTTAAAGAACAGATGACAAGCTTCGCCGATGAAAAGAAATTGATAACGGATGCCCAATCGGGCTTCCGTGCCCAATATAGCACCACCACTGCATTGAGTTTGATAACTGATGATATACTGAAATCTCTGGATGAAGGCAACTTCACCTGACTCATTTTACTTGATTATAGCAAGGCTTTCGATACACTTGATCCATTGGTATTATGCAAGAAACTTCGGTGTTATGGCTTCTCAGATTCAGCTGTATTGTTATTAAACAGTTATTTATCTAATCGAACTCAAAATATCATTCTAGATGCTAACGAATCAAATTCCCTCGTGAAACCCTTCGGCATCCCCCAAGGTTCCATCCTAGGACCACTTCTTTTTAGACTTTACATTTGTGACTTCTATGAATACATCAAGTCGGGCAACATACATCATTACGCCGATGACACACAACTTTATAGTTCGTTTGGGTACCATGAGGGTAATCTCGCAGAATCCGACATAAATAGAAAACTACAATTGTTGTTCGACGTGTCTTGTGCCCATAATTTGAAGCTCAATCCGAAAAAATCACAAGTAATGCTTTTTGGTCCTAAAGGTAGGAAAATTGATGTGTGATTCTCTTTCTATACGAATCAACGATGATACCAATCCTTTCGTGAGTGAAGCTAAAAATTTGGGTCTTTGGTTAGACACAGACTTGAGGTTTTCCAAACATATCAGTCATCTATGCAATACATCCTTCAATGTTCTGAGAAAACTCTATCCTATGTTACGGGTGCTTCACGTTAAGATTTCAATTACGAAATTGAACTTCTAGTGGTGAGGTGTGAGTTCAACAAAAACCGAATATAAAATAAATATATATTATATAATAATTGATATTTCAAAATAAAGCGCCACCCGTTTTAATTTTCACTCTGTGTTGTCAAGAAACACCAAAACGGGAAAAGTGGTCAGATCTCCAGACTAGTAAATAAAAAAAAAACGGAAATATATAAAGGTGATCAAAACAATAATTTTAATGATGATATAAGATACGATAGCTCATATATCGTAATTATAGAAGTTGGTAGCTACAAAGTACTTCATGTAATGTAGTTTTTCACTTAGCATAAGTAGACAAATATTTAGTTACGTAATCCCCAAATATAGCTATAGTTGGTTCACATAAGTTAGTTTCCGAAATATCGTAGCTATTGTCAAAAGTTGAAGAAATTTGGTGTTCGTATCGTGGCTCGGTGGATGGCAACCCCCTTTGGACGATGAGGAAAAGATAATTGGAAAGATCTTACCGGATGCTTGATTTCATCACCAACAAAATAGCTGATTACTAATATTATTCGGCATTAGTGTATTTCCATACATACAGGGTGCTTCCTCATATGTCCCTCAGGACCAAGTCATTTCCAGACAATTAGAGGTTCAAGGCTTTCAAACTCTCCTTACAGAAGCCCCAATACAAAAACCCTCATCAATTTGAGGGACTTTCTATACCAGGTTGTTCCTGGAGCTATATTTTTATGATGTTGGGAGATCCGGAATGGTAATAGCTCTCGGCAATTTGGCGGGATGAGAGTTCCAGTGAAGATATCCACCTTAGGTGCTATTTACGTGATCGGTTCCAAACCCAGAGACACAAACAATATGTCGAAGTGAGAAACCAAACAATTTCCCCAGAAATCCTCGATTTTTCTACAAAACAATACAAAATCCAATGGGCACCTGATCAACGCAAAAATGTTTTCACTGAAAAAATGGACCTCGACAGAGACTTCCCGAATTACCAACCTGAATCACCTGTAATAGCAGTTTCTGTACTATCCAAAACTACTAGATAAGTGGTAACACCACCGGATATCGGAATGGAACAAGCTAGGACAGAAGTAGCTATATACGGACCAACCTCCGACCCTCCTTATTTCACACACCTGAGTGAAGAGTATAGATATCTAATTAGACAATTAGTTCGCCTGCCCAAGTTTTCTGAAATGTATTGAATTTATGATAGACTCGCGTTACATTCAACGTCTTTGTCTCACTCGCAGTGAGGAGATAGATATTCAGTACCGGATACCATTCTGATACGTCTGTGTGGACTCCTCGATCGGAGAGCTGTATGAAAACCCTAATCTATATACAGAGTGATGGATTATACTGACGATATTTCAACAGGTTGTGATTTGAACTCATCCATTTATCAATCATGAGTAATCAATATTATGTTTTAGTGCCATCAATGATGATATTGTAAACATCAAGATAATACCAGAGTAGTGATACGAGAACCATGAACCGATGAAAGAACTATACATTATACTATGATATGAAAGTGAAGTTATTGATAAGTTAACCAATAAAGTAGAGAATTAAGAACAGTTTTGGAGAAAGGGTGTTGGGGAGAAAATGGAGTGTAACAACTAATAGAGACTTATTATCGAGAAATATAAAGTTGAGTCTTTGCGAATCCCTCATTTTCTCTAGATTGGCTTACTGCGACAGTATTTATGGTCCTGCCCTCCAACAAAGTGAGGCTTCGCGACTGCAAAAAATTCAAAACAGTTGCATAAGATTCTCGTATGGAATCCGCAAGTATGACCACATCAGTGCATCCTTCAAGGACTCGGGATGGCTGAAATTAAATTATTTGAGAGAAATGCACTCGCTCACCCTCACTCACAAAATTTTAACATCTGGTAATCCGCCTTATCTACGTAAGAAGCTTGTTCCGCTGTCACACAAAAATTCAGCACGGAATAAACATACACTACTAATTCCGAGGCATACTAAGACGATCTTTACCCGAAGTTTTTCCTGTAATGCTGCCAAACTCTACAATACGATCCCTGTGGAACTCAAGGAACTTTCCCTGAAAATTTTAAAAAAACGATTAAAGGCTTTGTTTCTGGCAAGGCGGCAGTGACAATGTACGACGACTCGATATTTCTCATTATATGTTAAATTTTTGTATTATTATGATGTCATCTATGATACCTGTTTGTGGTTTTATATGTGTATATTTTTTCCGGTTGGGTTTAAAAGCAGCTCTTTATAGCTGAACCCCGCCCTTTCATTATTCAGCAAATTGTTTCTCTAAATTACTATTATGTATGTTAATAATGAATAAAGACATATTATTATTATTATTATTATTAAATTACTAGATAATGAAATGAGCATTTGACAAATGAGTAGGGTAGTTTAGTTGACCATGTTATGTAGATAACATGTACGGCAAGTCATAATTACAAATTAAAACAGAAATAGTGCTTAAAAATAAAAATAATATTCACCCTCAATCACTGAAGTGCAAAAATACATTGTAAAAAATGAAACATCAAATGATCTGAATGAAATAACAAGCACAAAAAAACGAAATAAGTAGAATAGGGGAAATTGGATACAAAATATTAAGCAGGCGAAAGTGAAAGGAGAGTCTCTTGACATTGAAATTGAAAAATATAAAATTTACAATGACCTGTTCATGGAATTGAATGATAGGTTGAAGCTTCAGTGAACTTGCTGACTCCATATAGCTATCAACATCATTAAAACTATGTGTATGGAATTTATACCATAAGTGTTACTTTGCTAGTTCTTTGTAGTTTTATCTAGTTTTGTCTGTGATTTTTTTGCAAAAACATGTTTCAATTGGGTTTTCTCACGCACAATTCTCAACTACTGAGAGCAAGGAAAATCTGAACGCATCCAGAATGAATTGTTTTTTCGAGACCAAGTTGATTTTCATTTAATGCTCCTCCCAACCTGACTTCGGAGGGTGTTCCAGATTTGGTCAATTGAGTCAATTCTGAACCCCACATCTGTTCATCTGAAGTTTCATCGTCAAAATGAGCCTGATATACATATCAGAAATCGGTTGACGTGGAAAAAAGTTATGACTGCCAAACCAAAAAGTTGATTTCTTGAGATCACTCGGTAAATAAAAGAGATAGAAAAACAATTCGCAGAATATCTCAAGGTAATGAGATCATCTTCATGTCTCTGTTGTCAAAGTTGGGAAATAATTTTTTTTGTCCATTTGGGATCCTTTTGAATATTCCGAAATTTTGCACAGTGTCACGAAACACAGAGATTTTATGTTGAGACCCTTATGTTTCAAAGAAGTACCAGATTATAGCTGAAAGACTGGGCTAGCAAACAGTGTGAACCAAATTCAAATTGTTCAAAACAGAAAAATGTTAGTCACATTATAACAGGGGCAATATTTTGGGGTGCGACGAAATTAGTGTTGCTCAGTTTATCTCGAAAACGGAAAAGGTTTTTTTCATGAATAGTACCAAAAGTTCACTGTCAAGAATGTTAGAGCAATTTGTAGATGTTACATGAAAATTAATACGAAATTATGATTTCCCACATCAAAAAAACCTCAAAAAGTTATTTCAAAAAAGCGAACGAAAAATTCAATTTCAACACCCTAATATCTCCGAGACGAAGCATTTCCAGACAACTTTATATGTACTTTTTTTCTTAAAATTGTCTCAAGAATACGTATCCCGAATATTTCAACGTACTTATGTTACACCCTGTATATTGTACATGAACTCATCACAATTTCTCTTTTTTTATACAAAAACCATTTTCGTACTGCTATTCAATATTTGGAACTAACGTTTTATATCCAAACATTAGAAATGAGATGTTCAAGGCACAGGTTTCATATCTCATATTTTACATTTCGATCTTCCTAAGCTTTGTTAGGAGAATCTTATTCTTGAACAATAAAGAACATTTTGATTTTGGCACTCTAGTAGGGTCTTGTGTCAGCCGCTTATTGAGTCATGTCCAAACTTATCAAAAGGGAAGTCCATGATTAATGTAAGGTTAATGTAGGTATAACCTTCTGCCTGAATGTTTAAAAAACACGAATAAAATTAAACATTTCAAAACTGCTCTCAAACAATTCATGCTTCACAATGCATCCGTGTTCAAAATTTTCTGAAAGAAAAGGAATTTCATCTCTATCCTTTTATTCATCTTCTCCTCTTCCCACTCCAATAATTATAAGTATAGAAAAGCACTGTTCTTGTTCATGGAATAAAATAATTGTTATGTATTCTAACATGATAACCCCCTCCCATGCTTCATGAGGGAGAAATGCAAAACAGGCAGCCTGTTGCCTAGGTGTTTTTCGCTCATGTTAACAGGAGGAAAAAAATCTACCAAAAAAAATTTGTTGTACTGTATCATCAAATTTTTAAATAATTCTTGAAATCTTGAAAAATGTTCCTCTTGTTTCAGGGCTACCCCATAGAATTTCCCACTTACCTAAATTATTGTCGACAGTTGAGGTTCGAAGAAAGGCCGGATTATAGCTATTTGCGGCAACTGTTCAGAACCTTATTCCATAGGCAAGGCTTCACATATGATTATGTGTTCGATTGGAATATGCTCAAATTCGGTGAGTATTTAGGATTATGGGATGAATGAGAAACGTACAAGAAATGAATAGGCAAAGAAGACCTATATTATGCAGTCTGATGCTGATAGTTACATTAGAAGTTTTCCAACTTGCAGTTGGAATAAAAACTTGAAAATTGTTATGCTATTATAATCCATAATTTTTCTAATTTAACTGTGACAACACGCGGGAAATCAATTCACTCTATTCGAATTTCCATCGAATAACGTAATTCTACAAAAATGGAAACAGAATATGATGCGGCCGGCATGGAAATAGGTTACAAAATTTGCAAGAGGTATTCAAATTTCTTGGTAAGATATGGAACATTTTTCAACGCATTTTTATCAGGTACACTTCAGAACGGAAGATTTGATGTTGAAGAATTGGATCGTATTGAGAGAAAGAGCCGAACCCACAATTTATTAACTGAGCGAGTATTGAAAAGAACCTTATTCCAATTTAGAACTAACAAGAAACGAAAAACTTGTAGATGATGAAATTCATTTCGAACATATTTTGAAAGGAAAAGACTTGAGAATCAAATTTTCAGAGCAGTATTATTAAAAAATTCAAGGTTTAAGAGTGGAAGAGAGTGAGGAATTCAGGAAACAAATAGAAGAAAAAATAGAGAGTTGGATAATAAGTTGAAGCAAAAAGATTTAGATACAAAAGTGTACATACCAACTTGATATCGACCTTCATTGAGGTCCTTCAGCCTCATCATTCGAGCGCTGAAGTCCATTTATACCTACTTTCGTATGTCTTGGAGAACCTTTTTTATTTATCCTAACTGAAATCAGCTGTTATTGTTGCCATCATTTATTCATTTATTAATTACTCATTACCTACCACTCTTGTACAAGTAAAATTGTTCCATATGAAATAAGAGTATGTTTCATTGGCTTTGAAATTCATCAGTTTTCACCTCATTCTGAATTTTTGTGATATAAAAAGATTTAACTGAACGTATAGATTATATACCTACGCAGGGTATAACATGAAGTTGTAGTCATGTTGTAGCCATCTTGTGGAAAAGCTCTAAGGTAGGATACAGATATCGCGACACACACTGCATGGCGCTGCCATTTATAGTCACACGTACAGACCCTTACGTCTATATGCTACAGAGTGGTACTACACTACAAGTAAGTCGCTCCTGCTGACAATTGGGGCAACTCTGTTCATCCTAGATCTCTTAGTTATGAGATTTAGCAGTTGAATAGGTGGTGGAAAAATTCCACTCATGTATGTCAGGTAATGCCATCTGTCAGCAGAGTGATTTACTTGTAGTACCACTCTGTAGCGTATAGACGTAAGGGTCTGTACGTGTGACTATAGATGGCAGCGCCATACAGTGTGTGTCGCGATATCTGTATCCTACCTTAGAGCTTTGCCACAAGATGGCTACAACATGACTACAACTTCATGTTATACCCTGCGTCTTCGAAATGGGTGATATACCCGAAGCGTAGAGTTGTCCCAGTTGTCAGCAGACCCAGAGCGGCTGATGAGACCTGGTGGGTCGAAACAGTACTGTCTCGCTCCTGCTGACAATTGGGGCAACTCTGTTCATCCTAGATCTCTTAGTTATGAGATTTAGCACTTATATACCTACATATAAGAGACTTTTTTCATAGGAATAGTATATGTATTTCGTTGGTATATATGTACATACCAACTTGAAATCGACCTCCATTGAGGTCCTTCAGTCTTATCATTCAATATTTCGAGAAGAAATGATTTTCTTATCAATTTATCGTACCCTTTTACCCACTCGAGGAGACGCTATGTACTCTCATACAAAAATCAAAGGCAGAGAAAGATATATGGATGTACTCTTCCCAGGACTTGTGAAGGAAGGAAGATGCGAGGATCCTTTATCCAAGCGAAAAACATATTCTTGTCCTTGTCTGGCAAAGCATATGATTTGCTTCAAAATCGTTTGTGGTTATGTTCGATTGTCATTGCTTGTCTAGTGTCCGTACTCTGATATAGGTCGCGTGCACGAAGACCGACCCTGGAGGCAAAATATTGAAACACAACCTCATTCTTCTGTGAATTATTGAAACACAACCTCACTTTTTTATTTGGTTACAGAGGAATCAAAAGGTTGAAATAGTTTTTCACAATATTTTGGCATACGAATCGTGTTTCTTGCGTTATTCATTAATTCAAGCATGCCTTCGCATTGTGCTGTTGTACAATGCACAAAAAATGCAGCAAGAGACTAGGGAATATGATTTTTCAGGTAAATAGTAATCTCACATAGTTAGCATTATGAAATGTTGTCATTCCTTATTAAAATTCCTTCTGCCTTCTGCCACTTCTGCAATACAAGCCAATGCTGCTAATAGATTGAAAATGTCTACAACACACACAGTTCTACCGATTGATTGCATGAATCCAATCTTCTTGCATTATTCTAGAAATTTCAGGTATATTTCTATTAGCTGATCCTATTGCAGAAGGAATTCCGATGAGAAATCAGAGAAATAACCAAATTTCAAAAATGAAAACTATGTGAGTGACTATAGTAGGTACTTACTTTTGAATCATAATGTACCATCCGGATTTCTTCATCTTCCGCTGCAGTTTTTGTGCATTTTACAACAGCACAATGTGATGGCACTAGCGAATTGATGAATAGCGGAAAAATACGATTCATATGCCAAAATAATTGTGGAAAACTATTTCGATCACTTGTAAACAAATATGTTTTGCCTCCAGGGTCGGTCATCTGACAGTTCTTGCACGCGACCTATACAAAAAACGTCAAAACAGCAGTGTCAAGTACATTCAGGAACTCTACCTGTCACCATCCCCTGGTCTAATCATAATCAAACCCAAATCCCAAGATACTTTTTCTCATTTGTTTTGTTGACTGATTTCGGATTTTGAGAGCGAGAATGGAACCACAATCATCATTTTTCCTATGCCTAGGTGGCTCGAGAGGCAGCCACTGCGAGGAGAACAGCGTCGGCGGCGGCGGCAGGGCAGGGGGCGGCGGCGGAGGAGGGGCTCGGTACGGCGGTCACGTGGCGGCGGCGACGACGCCGGCCGACGGGACGCCCGTCGCAGCGTTGCAGTCGAGGACGCGACGCGCGCACGACGCTCGCATGGAGATGGTGGCGGGCAACGTCGTCGCGCCGAACGCTCTCGATGACGTCATCACTAGTAGTAAGGACACTTTTTTTTTTCGTTTCTAGGTCTTGGTTGGATTATATTCACCATTAAATGAACGCGAACACTATCACAAATGTTAACGAATTATTCGCACCAGATTGCGGTCATGAATGTTATCTGGGGACACCCCTGCTCTGATGAGAGCCATAGCTTGAAACCGGTCTGTAGGTATAGACCAGTGCTGAAGCCTTTGAAAACAGTTAAAAGTGAAAAGTAGAGATTCCAATTGACAAAATGCCCATCGACGTTTTAGAAAAAGCAGATATTTTGATGCGAGAATTTTCGATTGAAAATTAGGGTGCTAATTAGATATTAAGTCGAAATATGGTGGAAAAAAGAATATTTCGAATCGAAGATATAGTATATTTGGGACATGATACCATATACCTTTATTTCTCTTTTCCAAACCTTTTTCAATACAAATTGTCACTGACAAGCTAGTAAATTTTCCTTATAGGCTTTCTGAATTCTTTGAACACAGTGACTTTTTGTGCAAATCATCTGATTTGTCATTATTACTCTTATATTAAATGAATGTTTTTTATTTTGTAAAAGATAAAAATAAATAGCCAAAAACTTTGTATTTGAATTACTCACATGAATTTTGAAATCATGTGAATAGGGTATCCAGAATAGTTATAGAACTTTTTATTACCTACACCTTTTCTATTTAACTTTTTTCCTTTAATAGCACACCCCCTTCCCCTTCCCGACCTCAGATCGACCGTAATTCAGTCTTTATCCATTTTTGTTATATTTTCTTTCTTTTCCAGTGGGTTTCATTCTACTATAAGAGCTTTTTCGAAAAATATTTGCCGATCAGTAATTCTACGAAAAAAACTGACAAACAATTCTATCTTATGTCAGTTTTTCGAGAGAAATAACTGATGGAGAATGTTTGAGTTAGTAAGGAAATTTATTTCATTAAAAAAAAGTTCGAGTGTCTTTTGGCAAGATAAATCAACGACAATATACAAATAAACAACAATAATGATTACCTTAATTGATAATTCCGTGTAACTGGTAGTTTGCGGAATTGATTTTCTCATATTATGTGGTTTCTTCAGACGAAATTTTCCTAAAACAGCTCATCTTGATAATTTACGCGTAAACCATATCCATCAATCAATCTCGACACGACAGAAATCGGAGTGACATCAGGCGCAAATAGCTACTAGATCAAGAATTATCGACCTTGGTCTAGTAGTCAAGCGTTTACTACCATGTTATATTGATAACTATTATATTACATCATATTTGTTGATTCAGATTCGCCTAGAATGTATGATAGCCATGAGAGAAGAGTTTCGATGAGACTCAGGGCCAACCAAGGAGCCCCGAACGCATCCACTTCCGACTTGAGCACCTCCAAACAAGCAAAGTGAGTTTCATATTCGATCTCGACAGCTTTTATTTCGCCATAACAATAATTGATGAACATAATGTGTTGGTTTCTACATTCATTGGGTGCTTACTCCATTGGCGTTTGCTTCACAATATTATTCCAACAGATTTTCTAAAAACACTTGAATTAATTCATTTTGATCAATTATCACCGTGACATCTCTTACCTAAAAAAATTTTACAGGATGTTTAATGGAAATCATTCGGAAAAAAACAGAAATATATATGAATGGGTGCTTATGAACTGTTATCATCTCAAGTCTTTTATGAATATAAAAGTGCATTTCTTCACTAGATACCACTGACACTTGATACAAATCATTTTTACTTGTGAATCATTCATTTTACTGTATTTTTGTTATGTTATACTTAGTATCGTATATATAATATATATAAAATATAATTAGTTAATGAGGACTAGAGTTCCTAAATGTACCAGGTGATTCAATAAGGGTGATGAGGTACTGTATCTCAGGAACTCATATGGTTAATGAAACAGACCCCTTTGAATTCACCAAACCTTCGTTTCTTGAAGACCTTGTTAGCATAGTTATTAGTTCCTGAGCTACAGTAACATGTTACCCTTATTGAATCACCTGGTACTTGACACTGCTGATTTTGACGTTTATTGTATATCAGAGTACGGACACAATGACAAGCACTGACAATCAGACATAACCACAAATAAATTGATGGAAAAAGCGGGAACTGACAGTACACGGACGCACATGACATAAATTTCAAAGGTTTGACAAATTGAGAGAATTAGGAGAAAGATGCAAGTTTGTGCAGTTTCCAACTGTGAGAACACGGGAAATCAATTCACTCTATTCGAAATTCCATGGGATAACGTAATTCTACAAAAAGGAAACAGAATATGATGCAGCCGGCATGAAATATAGGTTCAGGCCACAAAACTTGCGAGGTATTTGAATTTCTTGGTAGGAAGTTGAAGAATAGGATCGAAAAGAACCTTATTCCAATTTAGACTCTGGTTATTGCTTGTGCATGGAATGATGGAGCAGAGACCACAATAGCCACCATGGAGATAATCTGATGATGAAATAGCAGAAACTTCCTGAATTGACTGAGTCAAACTGATTTCACATCCCTGTTCAAACAAGAATTCTTTAGATCATCTTCGTATACGAACTCTTATAATAATTTTGTGAAAACATATAGTCACTTTGTGGAACTCTGATGTACCAGATATTGATGAAGTGCTAAACGACTACATGGCTCCTAGTGGATTTTGAACCACTTCTTGGGTACCAAGATACAAGCAAGATATTATCAGAGCACAGAACAAGAACGCTTAACAAGTGCACCATTTATGTTAACTATTGAAAATGATCTTCCGATGGCCGGGTTCAACCAACAATCCCCTTTAGCAATGTGAACGGCGATCTATAGTGAGTCGAGCGCTGAAGTCCATTTATACCTACTTCCGTATGTCTTGGAGAACCTATATTATTTATCCTAACTGAAATCAGCTGTTATTGTTGCCATATCATTTGTTTATTTATTAATTACTCATAACTTACCACTCTTTTGTACTAATAAAAGTATGTTTCTTGAAATTTATCAGTTTTTACCCCATTCTGAACTTTTGTGATGAACAAATATTCAACTGAACGAATTTATATACCTACATATAAGAGACTAATTTCATAGGAATACTACATGTATTTCGTTGATGTATATTATGTACCTACTAAGGTCATTCAGCCTTATCATTCAATATTTAGAGAAGAAATAATTTTCTAATCAATTTATCGTACCCTTTTACCCATTCGAGGAGACGCTATGCCCTCTCATACAGAAATCAAAGACAGAGAAAGATGTATGGATGTACTCTTTCCAGGATTTGTGGAGGATGGAAGATGCGAGGATCCTTTATTTAAGCGAAAAACATATTCTTGTCCTTGCCTGGCAAAACATATGATTTGCTTCAAAATCGTTTGCGGTTATGTTTGATTGTCACTGCTTGTCTAGTGTCCGTACTCTAATATACAAAAAACGTCATAGCAGTGTCAAGAACATTTAGGAACTCTAATGAGGACCAAGTCCAATGAGGTCTAACATGTTTTGATTGCCCTCTAGATCGGTCTACTGTGATGTGATCTATATTTCTTTTTACAATAGAAATTATAGAAGCTTCATCTCCGCCTATATGAAATACTTCAAATATCTTGAGTTTTGCATTCGACTTTTACTAAACAAATGAAGGATTTATTTCGATAGTGGTCCTTGAATAGCTGTACATGAACTATAGTAGATTCTTGCGTTTATGAAATATTGCTAATAAGGGAGATACAGGGTGGTGGCTAGGGTAACATTATAGGACTAATTTTTAGAAATAACTTCAATGTTTCAACTTTTAAGTCAAAAATCTACTATATATTCTATTCACAATTACTTAGGACCTTTATATACCTCAATGTTAGCACAGTTCATAAACATCCGATATTTTCATTCATTTGCTAGTCCCATTTGAAAAATTGATGAAAAAACAAGTGTAGTGAAACTTATAGCATCTTCCAATGGGTCAAAACACTCCCAGCGTTGAGTTGTCCCAATTGTTAGTAGACCGAATGTGACTGATGTAACAATTAGTGTTAGACTTAGGAACAAGACGAATAATAAATACTTGAAAAAATAATCTTAGCTGTATGGAATGCTTCATGCAATTTGCAATGCATCAAGATACATAAAAGATTATTTGAATATCAGTTTGTAATGTTTAACCATTATCGGTCTTATTGAAGACCTAGTAGGCGAGGTAAAATAATGTGTGTGTGTTTATTGAGAAAAAAGTGCGAAAATCGACCATATTGACGATATTTCCTCTAAGTTTTAAAGACAGAGAAAGAAGTTTCGATATTGCGCCGTCACACCCATTGAGCTTATGGAAACTTCGAACGCAAATATCTTCGTAGTCCATTGAAATAGCCCAATCAAACCTGGTATTGTTGAATTCATTATAATAATCCCTAAACGATTATGGAATATAATACAGGGCGTTCCATTTGAAAATCGAAAGTGCTCTCTAGTGATCATATTCGATGTTCCAAATTTCAGAAATATAGCTAGAAAACCAAAGAAGGAAAAGGGGTATACCATGAGTATGTCACCCGGTAGGTACAGTCAAATGCAAAGGTTGCATGGTGTTAGCGCTCTCATTGCAGGAGTGACTAGATGATGTGCTATCACCGCCCATGCACGACATTTCATTTGGATCTGACTGTACCTCGGGTTAGAATGCTATGATATAGCTCACTTCTCACCCTAAGGTGTATAAAATACTATTTTCTGTAGGTCTAGTCTTTCCAAAGTCAATTAAAGCAGCTCCAGAAAAAAACACGCTCAAATATGGAAGAAGCAGAAAAATTTAAAATGAAATTAAAGAAATATCTGCTCAGTAAACTTTAATAGTACTAATCATTCACAATTTGATTACTTGTAATGGATTATGATATTTTCATTTTATATTTTACTATAATTCTTTTTTTTTTTAGGAAAAACAATAATTGTGCCATTATTATTGTTTCGATTTATTATGTTTTATATGTATGTTTTGTTGTATATATCCCTATTATAAACAATATTGTTTCTTGGGGTAATAAAGACAACAACATATAATCTCCAAAAATTCAAAAAAAATTCCAATACCTACCTCCTGTCCCTAGCCTCCCTAGGAACGCACGATGTTCTTTGAGCATTATAGGGATTCCCTTTCGTGCGCTCCAATCGATAAAAAAAAAATCAAATTGTAATCTGTCTGAGGTGACGTTACACACGATAATAGTGTAAACACGAACAGCAGTCAGAACAAAATCTATCACTGGTGGAGTACAGTTATATGAAAAATAGAAGATGAACAGTTTCACCTAACATTGTTCATATTTAAAAATTTTCAATTGAAACAAATGAGCTATTAACATATTTCAGTAAACCAGCGCCAGTGTCAGTAAACAATAGTTATTTATCATACAAGGGAAAAAAGTATTAGATTTTGGCTCGACGCCGAGGTCGAAGATAAAATCTAATATTTTTCCGGTGTACTATTTGTTTCTGTGACGACGATTACATTCAAGTTAATTACAACAGAGGTGGCTATGTCTTTATTGACTAGTGGTTTATAAAATGACAAAAACTACCTTGGTAGTAAAAACACATTTTGCGCCTCGAAAACAATAGTATACCACGCCTACTATGTTTGGATTCAAAGCGATAATGGTTCAACAAAACATTTCTCACTCGTTAAACAAAAATGACATGGGGGCTTGGCATGACCTTATTCACTATAGAAAATAACACGTCGCCCCACCTGACAGGAACAACTTGAAAACTTCTACGCGGTTTATTTTCATAATATAACTAATAAGCACAATCAAAAAACAAATGTGAACCAATAAAAACACAGTAAACAGGCCGCGTTGACAGCTTTCAAGAACTCCGATAGGTGGCGTACGCTTATTTTCTATAGAGAATAGTACATGGCTCTCGCTGACAATTGTGGCAACTCCATTCATCCTAGTTCACGAAATCTGGTTAGTTGACATTAGAGACATAAGAGTTCGGACACAGCTGAACTTTTGTCCTTTTCTATTTTCTATAATACGATGTAATAATACATTATATTATAGAAAATAGAAAAGGTCAAAAGTTCAGCTGTGTCCGAACTCTAATCAAACTAATACCATCCAGTGACCCTAGTTGACATTTTCGAAAAATTCGCCCATTTTTATTTACCAATTGGCACGATTCACTAACGTATCTTTTTCTTTTTGTTTTCTCTCTTTCTCTCTCTGTCTCTCCTCCATTCCATCATCGCACACCCATCCGATCATCGCGCTCTCACCACACGATCGCACCTTGTCGCCCCGCCACGCACCTATGTGATTCTCCTTTGTTCTGGAAGCGCATCCGTAGCGGCAACAGTGCCGCCCAACGGCCAGACGGCAACGCTGGTCGCCCCGCCGCCTAGGAGGGGCAGCGCGTCGAAGGAGCCGCCCGCCGTGCGCCTCAAAAAGTGAGAAGGACTGGGGAGGGGGCGCGCTGCGGTCGTTAGTGCGAGGTTACTCTGATTTTCGAGGGTTTTTTTACCGTGTTTTTTTTATTATTTTTCGTCGCCTAGGTTTTTTTGTTTGTAATTATTGAGGGGCGTGTCGTTGTGGGAGAGTTGAATTGAAGAATACTCGTTAGGATGTTTGTTTAACATCGACTTTTTCTTTGACTCATTTGATGAAGAATAATGTCATTATTTTCGTGTCATATCAACGCCTTCTAGACATAAAATCAACTCCTGCCAACGATTATCAGCAGCTTATCAATGTTGTTGAAAAAAAAAAACAAGTAAATTGTCAAACATGCCAAAAGCTGAAACTTTACCAATCATATCAGTTAGAAAAAAATCACCTCATGCCACCTGTATTGTGGAACGATGTAATCCTGCCATGGACCTGCCATGGATGTGAGAAAAAAAGTCTCCTTCAACAACGTACCATAAATTCTACAGGGTGAACTAGAGATCTGAATAGGCCGATCGAAATCAACTTACCTCTATAGGAGAATGCACCGTTGAGCCGTGAGAGGGCACTAAAGTGTAATTTTGTTTCCAGATTTTCTTGAATATTTCAAAATTCTTCAATGGTACTACTCTGAAAGTTGTTGGTCAATTCACTATCGTAAATGTGCATGAAAAACATTTAACAATTTGATCAATATACAGGGAGATAGATATTTCGCATCATCTGATGAAAATTAACTTTTTTGGAGTACGCTACTGACCGCATTTCGATATTTCAATGAACGACAAAAGTAATTATTAAACTTAATCCAACAAAATTCATTTTGGTGCGTCTCCATACTTGTTTATTATGTCAGGATGACCAATCATGCTTTGCAGGTTTCAACCTCATTTGTGTTGAGTTATAGACTGAAATATTCATGTTCACCGTTTCGCAAGCTTATCATCTGGGGGCTGATATTTTCCAAATTGATTTTTTTGTCGCCAAATTACTTTATATGATAAAAAAAAGATGACCAAACATTATCATATGCTAGAGTAGTTCATAAACATGTTTATTGTGGTCAATAAGTCGACACCAATGAGGTAAAAACTCGCAAAACATTATAAGCAAGTGTGAAAAGGCACCAAAATTAATAAGGTTATAGATATCTCGAAACACAAAATTGCTCTTGTTTTACTGTGGTCGATACATCAATGAGATACTTTGTATGTCATCATTTTTATTTCCGTATCTGATATCGCAATGACAGCTCTTACTAATAGATGAGCATTACTTGACAGGAAATCAGACAAGACGAAGAAATAAATATGTCGCTGTTATCTGTTACAGCCGTAGAAAAATGATAGTGTAGAACTCGCACGGAATGCTAATTTCCCACTCGAATGATTGTAGAATTTCAGAGCACTACCATTCAAGGATTTTGAAATTTTTCAAGATAATCTGGAAATAAAATTATTTTCCTATTGAGGTAAGTTGATTTCGATCGGCCATTCAGGTCTGTAGCTCACCCTGTAGAAATTATGTACGTCGTTTTGGAACACTTTTTTTCACATCATTAGGACCATGGTAGGAGTACATTGTTCTACAGAACAGGTGACAGGACATGTTTTTTCTTTAACTGATATGCCACGATTGGTAAAGTTTCAGGTTTTATCGTGTTTGCCATTTTCTCGTTTTTTTTTTCAACATTGATGTGCGCTGTCGGTAGCAGGAGTGGATTTTGTTGATGAGCTTTATTAAAAAAGACATTAAAAATTGTAGCTCCCGGGCTATTATTTGATGGTTCGCTCTTGCGGGTGTGAAGGGAGTGTAGTTATTCAGTAAACTGACAAAAAATAGGGTAAATGAATCTTGTAGACGTAAATTCTTGTGGAATGGTAGGGGAAGTCCTGACTCTTGGGGAATGTGCGGTGGGTAGGAAAGCATTTGAAGATTATTTTTCCATGTTGTTATTGAACAATTCCAATATCGCGACCCGTATCAAAAAAGTTTAGATATGCAAAATTGAACAACATAACATTCACTATGAATAAAAGTAGACTTATGCACACTGCTTTTTCATGAATCTGTTGCTTTCATTAACTGTTTTATTTTTATTAAAGGACTATGATACCTTTATGTATGTACAACCTTCTTTTAATTTATAACTCTTCTTCTTGATCAAAACATAGTCCTCAGAGTACTCAGCCCGGTGAAAATATTTGTATTATAACAATCAGTGATCACATAATTACAATAAGAATCATTCATTCATATTGTTCCAAAGTATAATTTGAACATACGACTAGAATTTTCAAACAAACTTGGGAAAAAGAAGAGGAAAAAACTGTTCGTCTGACTTCTGGCAGAATCGCGCCTTCGCAAGTCACAGTTTTATTTGTATTTGTCGTCAAGGGATTGAAGTTGGTCATCTTTTAGTGAATAGTTAATGAAAAATCGAATTCAATTTAGGTGCATAAATGAATGAACGGGAATACCAAGTTTTAACTGATTAGTGAAATCGTTAATGAATGTGAAATAACAGATTAATGAAAAAGCGGTGTGCATAAATCCGCCTCAAAGGTTTCATCAATTCTTCGTCTACAATGGTGAATATTCTCTAAGATACAAAGTATGAAATAAAATTGGAAGTATCAAAAATAGAGTTTAATGGTGTAATCGATCTCAACGTGAATAGTAACAAAACAAAATTCATAACTCATTAAAAACAAACTGCTTGAATGTGTACAATTCTATAATCATCATCATCATCTTCATTATCTCTGAAGGACCGACAATTTCTTTCACATTTATATTTTTGTCGAGCACCTAAAAGCGTCACTGTCTAAATCAATAATGACATATTATATTGTTTATTTACAACCATATATGTAATGTTGTCGTAACGTCATTACGTAACGTCATTACTTAACGTCATTGAAGGTTGGGAAGTGTCACATTACACACCGATACTTCCCGCCATGTATTTAATATTTTAGGTAAGTCCAGAACGAAACAAGTTTATTAATTTTGATCGAAATATGATGGTTGTAAATAAAATAGTATAGAAACCTTGCTAGGAAGTTTCATTCCTGTCTCGAGATTATAGCTAACCTCGACGCTTTGCGTCTCGGTTAACTAACTAATCTCACGACAGGAATGACTCTCTTCTTCCCACCTCGGTGTGTTATATAATATTTTACACTTAGTGGCCCTTTACCGCCTGCTGTTCTCAAAATCCTTGTATCCACATATCAATTCATGATTTCCAGAGGTATATTGTACACACATCCGATCAGATATTATCTTCGCATACACTTCACTAATGCACTTTTTGAATAATAATTGCATCTCGTCTATCTCGGAAACTATTCATTACAGTCGAAAAAATGAATAGAGTCGCCTTGGCCGAGATTGTCTATGCGCTGAAATTCGCTAGATAGCCGTTCACGATGCGAAGTTACTGTCGGTTCGAATCCGGCTATCGGCTGAGCATTTTTCTTTGAAATGTGTGATTCATGGTTGTAATCCTGGCAGCACCTCGATGCCCTAGGAGTGGTTCGGGTTCCACTATAAGCTGTAGGTCCCGCTCTTCCTAACCCTGCACAAGTTTCGGCTTCTGTGGTTCCCAAATTTGAAGTAGCGATATACAAATTTTACAATAGAAAAGTACAAAAATGTTTATTGGAAATATTATGTTGTTAAATTTTGTATATTCATACTTTTTGCTGAATGCCGCGATTTTTCAATTATTCAAGAACACCTTGAAAATTTCAATTCAAATTTTAACCTACCATCGTCTCGCTCATCTCCTACGGGTCAGGACTTTTAGTATGTTGTTCATGACACTTCCTTTTGCCACTGTACAAAAATTTTGCGACTACACGATTTATTTCTCATTGACTTCTTTTTGCCTGGATTTATCATACTACACTCCTTTTTTCATGAGTTTGGTGCATGTTTGACAGGTAACCGATCCTGGAGGTAAAGCTATAATCGATTTTTACTCTTCTGATTCTGCTGACGAAATCGTTTATTTATGTATGGAGGGCGTAAAATGGGCTTTCATGCCAGGGCTATTAACACGCCCGAAATACATGCAACATTTCATGCACAACCGTTTTAGACATTTATTTTAAGTTAATATGGATTTTATTAATGATTTTGAATTCATTTAGCCAAATTATGTAATACCACTGGCGCAAAATAATCAAATGGTGGTCCTCTAGAAATTGCTGATGAAATAGTGAATTTACATTACCTCTCGTTTATCTGCTTTAACGCCCGCTGCACCATTTTCTCGCCCTAGAAAGTTGAACTGCTTCTTTACTCCCGGAAATCCGGGCGATAACGTGCTACTTTAAGCCTAATCATGTATAAAACTATACACGGTGATTCACATAACAACCGACATAGGGCAGGGGCATGTAGGGGGTCCCAAAATATGGCAATTTAACGCAACTTACCTCTATACCAAGTTACTTCCCTAAGGAGATATAGGCATAGCACTAACAGCATGTCAACTTGCTCGTTAAAAGAAAACTTCCCGTTCATTTTAAAAACACTCAAACAACAATTACTTAATTGAACAACTCACTTGCTTCATTGTCAAGTTTGACGTTTATTTTCATAGCCAACTTTTGAATTTTCGATGATTTTAAATAACACACCTAAAGCCCGCGTTTTCAGTTATTGGAGTTTTTGATGAAAATGATGAGGTTTTTCGAAAAATTACTATACCTTTTCAACTTCAATTTCGGAATTGGTAAGTTATATTTCGGAAAAAGTAATCTCGATTTCAGAATTGGTTAGTTCGATTTCAGAAATGGTAAACTCAATATCAGAATCGATGAGATGAATTTCAGAGAAAGTCCATTCAATTCCAGAAATGGTAAGTTGTATTTCAGAATTGGTAGGTTTAATTTCAGAAAATGAATCCTTATATTTGTTTGAAATGTTTTCAATTGCATGTGAGATTAACAAACCATATTTACAATATTCAACTTTTCAAAAACAATTCAATA